TGAAATGATGGATGTGAAAGGGTTTAATGTTAGAGACCGTAAATGTCATGGCCCATGGTAAGCCCTTGGAGATGGAAAGCTATTAGTTGTGGCACATTAACCATTTATAACAATTCTTTCCCCTTCACACTTGCCTCAAAAACAACACACAAAGAAATATCACCCACACCTGCATCATCATGGGCAGGGATTTCTCCAAAGTGACAGTTGATTTCTATTTGCCTGTTTTTGGTTGTTTCTAGAGCACTATGAGTAGTAAAAGCAGCAAGCTGTGTTTGGGGAAGGTGGAAAGCTTACCTGAACGAAAGTGTTGGTGTCTAGGGAAAGTGTTAATTTCCACTGGGAAAGGAGGTACTAGTGAGCCTGATCCAGCTCATGGATGACTTTGGTTTGGGTGGCACTGTATTTTAGAACATTGAACTTCAAGGCCTTTGGGTGAGACGTGCTCCTTTTCTCCCACAGGCTCTGTTTACAGTTGGCCTGATCATAGGTGCCTCACTCTTCTAGACACCGCTGTATAGGTAGCACCAGCTTCATGTGTGGGTGAAGTAGGTGCTATTATTTTAGGGGTATCTGGAAGGCAACACCTCCGCTCCTCCCTCCTCTCCTTCCACACGCCCTGCTTCTGGTGCTTATAATTCTTTCAGGCAATGCCTTGGAAAAACAAAAACCTATGTTGGAAGGGAGGAAAACATTTTGAATATTAGCTATGCTTTATAACATGGGTAGATAAGTTTAGCAGATCAAGAAAAAAATCAGGGGGGGGCAGGTTTTGATAAGAGAACTTGAGACACCAAGCCTGTGTGTTGGGGTTTGTGTGGGTAGGCTTGATAAACTCTATGAAGCAGGTAGCAAAGGAATATAAATGGATGGAAGGGCAGAATTTATCTGTAAAATGGGGGTGTGCCTGCCTCACAGTATTATTGAGAGAATTAAATGAAATGATTATGTAAAGGACTTAATATAATAAGAAAGTAAGTACAGTTACTATTGTTTTTCTTGGTCTGAAAGAATGAACACATGTCACAATAAACTGGAATGGGAAAGAGGCAGAAAAGTGAAGTGTTCTCACCTCCTCATCCATCCAAGCTGCACTAGGCTAGAAGAGGAAGCCTCCGTGCCTGTGTCTGGCTGGGTCTCCTCCATGCCAAACACCTGGCCATTTGGAAATAACCAGATGAGTGACTGTTTCATTCATAGCTGACATCCTTGCCAAAGGAAGAGACTGCCTAACAGCTGTCTCCATCACAATGGGCTTCTTAGCACTTGTCAGTTTGGCCTAAATGGAGAGAATTTTATGGCCATCATGAGGTCTAGTTTGCCCCTGTGTGTTTATAGTAAATTACTACTCTTTTCTCCACTGTCTGATTTTTTTCATGCAGTACCACATCTGACATGAATTGAAATTGTGCAAAACTAGAAGCGTTCCTAGTGGTTAGGTAATAGCTTAATGGAATCTGATAATTTCCAGTTGAGGCAGCTGATGGAATCCACACGTTAATACTACCACCTCACACTGAGTGAAGTTTTACAGCACTTTCCCATGCACTACCTCTCTTGAGAAGGAGCCTCCAAACATGCATGGAAGTGGGTAAGGCAGGTAGAATCATCCAGATTTTCTGGACGAAGTAACTAAAGTACTTCCTGACTTAGATTCCTTGGGTAATGAGGCAGGGAATGAGCAAGGCTTGAAAGGGGTTTACCCAACACCACCTGGGGGAGAGCCAGGAACCTGGGACTACACTCCTCAGCCTTCCAGCAGTGAGTCCTGCTGCAAAGAGGTGGCATGATGGAGGGGCCAAGACTTTGGGATGAGAAATGGACTAGAATCCAGCTCCTTTACTGGCTGGGCCCTTGAGGGCAAGTCTCACCAAATCCCTGGGCCTCTGTCTTGTCATGAACAATGTGGGGCTTCCTGGGGCAATCATACTAATGTGAGAGTTGTCATGAAGCTTAAAATGGAATCGTAATGTTGAAGCATCTGGCACATCTTCTGCCCCCTCCACTGCATGAAAAGAGGTTTCAGGGTGTCATGATCAGCCTAATTACTGAGCATCATCATTTTCAGGCCCAAGGCTTACTGAGAGGTTGCCCTATACCAGACACTGTGCTGAGAGCTCACATAAATTTATCCCTTGTAATCGCCACATCAACCTTATGAGGAATTTATTATCCCCATTGGATTGATGAGAAAAGTGAGGTATGAAAGACTAAACAGTTTGACCAAAGCATACACTTAAGAAATGGCTGAGCCCAGATTCAAGTCTTCACCACCTCCTTATTTACAGAGTCGTTGAGCTGAAAGGAACTGTAAAAATCACCTGGGCCACAGGCTGAACTTCCATGTCTCATAACTTAAGAACTTTGTTACAAGAAATGTTTTATTAATAAATTAAAATACTAAGGTTGTGAAACATTTGCTTTGGCTTATAATTAGAGTAGATTTAAGGTTATTTTTGCAGTAATTCTTATATTCTTATAATAATTTTGACTTGTACTTTGAAATGCTTTCTTGGTGGAAGAGAAAGAGGCAGGTATACCTAATGGGCAGGGCTTGATGACCAGGTTGCCTTATCTAAATGTACTCCTTTTGTCTGTTGACCTGGTGGAAACAGGGTATGGCAGTGACTCCCTAAATGTAAGCCAAAACCTGCTAAAAGCTGCAGTAAGGGAATGAGTGATATCTTGTTTGCCTTGAGCCATGGAGGGTTCAGCTCTTGACTTTGCTTTTTGAGCTAAGTCCAACTGAAAGTACTGCAAATTACATTCAACTCCTTACTTTGACAAAGTTTAATTTAGCAAGTCTTTTTGCAAATACAGGTGAGAGATTCAGTCCCAGAGACCAACTAATACAGGAGATTGAGGAGGGCCCAGCTAACATTCTTTCCAGTGGGTCAATGCCACACACTTCTATGGAATATTAGCACCATGAATGGTGAGGGGTGCTGCTTAGAAATAAAAAGTGACAACTTCCATCTGGCATTTCCCATTATGTGGGATCTTTCTGAATGAGATGATTTTCCACTTGTGGGAGGGAGGAGTAAGATGTCAATGAAGGCAGAAGGGGGTTTCTAGAACATCCAAAGGCAGGAGACTACAGTTGTTCTCACAATTTGAAAATGATAGAGCCCTCATATGCATTCATTTCACTAATAATTTATACATCCTAGTTCTTTGAGAGCTGGTGAAAACAGAATACACAGCACATTCAGAGTGACAATTAAATATTTAACAATGAGGCAAAATTTTGAAGAGAAAACAGAATTTTCAAATATATGTTCATCAGCCCACTGAAAAGTCAATGATATTCCAAATTCCTTAAGCCTGTACAAACATATGAGGTTTGTCAATACAGGACAGAGTGACAAGTTGAACAATTGCCCAGATAATTTGTTTCTGGGAGAGTTTGCTTAGATCATGCAAACTAGTACTTTCCCTCTCCCCTTCCCCCCCACCCCTGTTTTCCCCTAGCATATTTTTGTATCTGCATTTATCTATATACAACCATATCCACCTTCCAATTCACTTTGACTGTATAGACAGACTGTGGCCTTGGCTACATATATGCACATTAAATACAGTAGATGTTCAAGGGAATTAGATGGATGGAGTACACTGGTCCAAAGTCTGTTTTTCTCTACTGTGCAGCTCCAGCCAAGGACAAAGTAAACTGTTTGTTAATAATCACCAGGTGAATTAACGAAGACACACTAAGTCTAAAATCCTTGCTTTTCTTTCAGGGATCTGAATTGATTGGATACTCATCTAGACCTGACTACAGACATATCCAGATACACAGATGTATTTTCACATATGTTTACATCATATAGATGATCCAGATAATTCCAATTTCAAATATTTGCTTCTTTACTAATGCCCATCCTTGAATTCTTAGGATACCTGCCTCCCCTTTACTTAGTTTCTGGGTCAGTTAGAGTATCTCTGAGCCAGAGTGTCAATTCAGTGTTGATCTTGAAAGTAAATATGGAGAGAAAGAATGGGGGACGGGCGTGGATTCCAAAAGAAAGAAAAGACCTCCCACTCTCAGGAGTTTGCACTCTCATTTTATACTCAGCTGTTGCCCTATTGCAAAGCAGCAGGATAAGAAGAATATTCAGGTTGACTCAATGAAAAACATTTACATGTTTGTAAATGAGTTTAGTTTTTTTCGTTTTTAAGTGGCATTCAGCAGATACACTCTTATAGTGATATCAGTATAACACAAGGAAAGTAGTATTTGGAAATTTCACTCATCTACTTGATTCGCCCTGGACAGAAAATTCCAAGGTGTGCATTTTTCCAAGGCTATATAGTGATCCAATAAACTAGATAAATGTTAGATCTCTAAGGTAACTGTTAAATCTGAGGTAGGATAAAATGTGATTGCAGGGGTTCTACCCTAGCCATGTTCTCTACTGATCTGTTGCTTTTGGCTTTTGGGGTTATGGAAAGAAAGAGAGGGGGAGAAATGTTGAGGGAGAAGGATTATGGTATATGAGGAGCACTCCTTAGAAGTTTGAACTCACTGGGTTGTAGAATTAGATATAGATTCAGAGACTTCCCTCTGCCAAATCACTGAAGCTGTGGTAAGAATTAATAGATGCCGTTACCTGAAGTTATTTCTTAGTTACTGTACTCCTGGAGCTAAGCAACAATGCAAACATGAAAAAAGGAATTTTATTTTAATTTGAAATGCACTGTGTGAATTTTTTTTCCTACAGCAGATAAATGGTACTAATTATATATTTTACTCAGGCTATTAATAAGTTACTTGTATTACCTGAATCTACACCTATTGTATCAGAGGTAAATGGCTGAGGAATAAATTGAGAGATTTGGAAAGGGTAGTCTTCAATTTAACTTTTGCCACAGACAAATCACATGTGGATAAACAAGAGTTAATTGAATATAATTCATAGGAAAAGTCACATGCTGAATTTGTAAGCATTTCTCCAAAGGTGTGAATATTGCGGTCCCCAACCCACCGAAAACAAAATCAAAAGCCCTTTATTCACACTAGTGGGTGTGTTTAGCCCTAGGTACCCAGTGTTGGCCTGGCCTTTGTAATTGACTTGAGTGCTTCTGCCCCAGTCATTACAAAGCTCCCATCTCAGTGCAGGACAGTGAGGAGTCGGGCGTGAGTCTTGCTGATGGCTTGTCTTTCCCAAAGCATGTTTTGTGGAATGGGCCTTTAGGGCTGCAGTTTCCTGCACAAATCTTGGCCTCTGTATTTTCTCCTGCAGTCTGGTTTCTGGTTTGGATGCGCTCAGATGACTGGCATCTCCCGGCTCCCGCTGACACCCCACAGGAGGTAAGTGTATAAAAGGCCAGAGGCCACAGTTGTTCATGGGAGGAGGACTACCTGGCAAAGGTGGGTGTTTTCCATGTGGAATACTGTTGAGAAGTGCTCCAGGGCAGGGACTGACCAAACTTTTTTAGTGGTCGAGGCACTTGTCTGAATTTCTTGGGATGAAAATCATTCCTAGCAGGTCGCTGGTCTCATCTGGGTGCAAGGATAAGTCATTTTTCTTCTGCATCTTTTCAATACATCGACCTTGCAATGTCTGCACGTGGAAGCCTCTCAGAAGTGTGACCAGGGTGACCTTCATCATCACCATGGCAATGTATTTTCCCGCACAGGCCCGGGGCCCAAAGCCAAATGGCTGAAAGTACCTGTAAGGAACCTAGGAAAATGATCAGACAGTTAGCCCGAGAAGTAAAGGCTAGAGTCATGCATATCTGTTTGATTCACCCTGAAAACACTGTGAGTCAGAATGCTCGGTTTCGGCGACTTGGCCATACTGCTCCTTCACGGAGAGGAATGACTGTAACTCAGATAAGCCTCTTTCTCCCTCCAGTTTGATTCACCCTTTGTGATACGGACACAACGTCAAACAATCCCCTGTTTTGCTTTTCATGTAAATACTCAGCTAGCTCTGTGGGAAGACCATGGCTTTACTGCTGTTCTGCCAGTCATTGAGGCAAAGATTGTTTTTGTGCCAGGGCATATAACATGATGACAAGGACAAATTTAGGCAAAGGTGTGGATTCCCTACTATTAGTGCCAAGGATCTAAATATATTTAGTTATACAAATATTTAATGGGACACCTCTGCCTGTCTTGTCCCCATTTGGACTCACATAGTGCCTGGCACTTAATACACGCTCAGTACGTTATTTTTGACCAATTGCCAACATGGCGTGGGTTGCTTATCTAGAAATGGAATGAATTAGACAGCTGGTTTTACTAAGATCATATTTCCATATGCAAATGGAAAAAGGGGACACAGAGGGAACTATCAGGATAATTCAGGTTAAAAAAGTCATTGCCTAGAATTGACATAATGGAGGCAGAATCTCCAGTACACCTCAGTTACAGAAAAAGAAGAAGCTGAGGCTCTTGTAATTACAAAGTTATATATAGAATGAGGCCTAGTGCTTGTGGGGCCATTTGAGAAACCAAAGGCCCACTGCCAAAACCAAATCTTTTCTTCTCACTTGATTTCCATCTGAAGCAGAAGTGGATTTCCTTGACTTAGATGATGCTACGGCTGAATCTACATGGTGACAAGGTGATAAGTTTAAATGGAAAAGTTAAGTTTAAATGGGTTGGTTAAAGAAAATTTGCCTCATTTTAAGCAAATTAAGGGCCTGAATTATTCATCTTTTGACCTATTGTGTGGCCTCCATGAAGACATTTCTGAGAGCTGGAGAGCCAGCCTCCTTGCCTTGAGGACAGACATGGTGGTCGTGTTCCAAGCTAGGGGAAATGTGTTTTCCTGGTGAGGTGTGAAGAGAATGAGTAAATAGAATGAAATATATGCAGTGAAAACACAGAAACAGAGAGCACTTAAGAGGTGACATTTTCAAGAGTGGCACACTCAATTTTAAGGAAGGGCTCTTACATTCCTGGCAAAGTTTTCAAGAGTAAATTCATTGGGCTTGGGGAAAAACTCAAGTCTATGCATTCTTCCAATATTCAGGATAATGTTAGTCCCCTTTTTCACTGGGTAGCCATCGATGACATCATCCTCTAAGGCTTTGCGCATGACCAGGTCCACGACAGGCTGGTACCGCATGCTCTCATAAATAAAGTTTTCTACCACTTTTAGTTTTTGCATATCGTCAATCCTTACGTCTCTTTCACCTGTAGAAGAAGATAAAAAAAAACAAAGCTCATGTTAGTTTTAATATACGATTGGTATTAAAAATACTGTGCTTTCCATAGAACAGTTTGCTCTTGGTTGAAAAAAAATTATATCTACAATTCTAATATAAACCAGCAACCTGCATTAAATATGTTATGTTTGGTCCACAGAGTGTCTTATGAAAATTCAGATTTGAAGTCAATTATCTTAACACCTGGGCTTTTCATATTAAAGTCTAAATTTCTAGAAAAATAAAAAAGGTAAAATGGGACCCACATTCCCACATGGCTCTGCAGTATCATGTAGACCTACCCAAACTGCTTCAAACATTTATTTATCTGCCGCCTCTGTGGTTCTTGAGTTTTGTCCCCTACTCTAAATTCTAGAAGACGTTCATTCCTTCTCTAGTCAAAGTGAGATGGTGAGTTTAATCAGGTTCAAAGAAATTTTCTCTTCTGGTATCCTGTGCAGTCATTTGTCGGAAAATATCACTGATAGTCTCTCCTCCTCACCTCATCAAGAACAACCTGGTGTGGTAGTGTGGCAAGAACCCCCTCTCCCCACCACGACAAAAGGGGTGCCTCAGATCAGCCCTGGGTGAACTGGGGATTGACGGATCCCTCGTCTCAGCTTGGCCTCACACTCGTCAGAGAGGTTCAGATCACTCTCAGAATTGGCAAAACTTCAAAGCACCCTCAAATGGGGTATCACTTCTGCAGAATCAGAATCAACCCAGGGTCCTGAGGCAGCTCTGTCTCCTGTGCAACTATGTTATTCAGGAGTGGTCTCACTTAGAGAACTCTAACCATCCAGCCCCTCACATACTGCTCTCTGTACACTTAAGAGTTTAATGGGCTGTGTTTATCTGGGGTGGGGAGGTAGAGGGTAGATGATGGAGCAGGTAACCAAAGGTGTACCCTTGGAAGTAATTACCAGGCATGCAGGTCTAGAGGGAACACGTACACATGTGCTAGTGGTTGTTTGGACTTTCCATCTGTGCAGAGGTCTGTTGAAGCATCAAGGGAACATCATGGGGCACAAGCACTTTTCACCTCTCAAGGAAATTGTATTAAAGGTTTATGATCTCAAGAGCAATTTCCCCTGTGTTGCCTGTACCTCCATCATTCTGTGACTCTCACTCCACTGAGCTTGTTTCTTGAATTCTCTTTTTCTCACGAGACTGAGAGCCCCAGGACTGCAGGGGTGGCACTGGCTTGTTCACCACGGTGCCCCTGCACCTGGCACAGGACCCATAACCTGAAAAGGGTGCTTGAGAAAACATTCCAGAATTTGAAACCCAGATGTCATTCTGACTCCTTGCTATCTACCTTCCCAGGCAGTGGCCCTCCTATGGCAATGCGTCTGCAGAACCCTTTCACATATTTAATCTGTGTATGAAATTTCCCCTTGTCATCTATTTCAAGCAGCACTCAAATGGTTTTAAAGATAAATAAGATAAAAATTTTTTAATAATATGATGCCTTTATACAGCAAAATAGGTTGTTTCCCAGGGATTCTGTAAAGTCAAGAAAGAAAAATCTATATCATTACTGATACCTCTTCGCATATGTCTGAAATGTGTTCCTAAAGAGATTACTTATGTGAAGCACACTCCAAATAAGGCATTCTGTTTTCTCCAGAAAGCAATTCTGACTTCTTCTGAACGTGGCAGTGTCTCCAGGGAAGGGTGGGGATATCCAAAGCAGTGGCAGAGTGATGCTGAAGCAATGGCAGAGCAGGGAGGGGACAGAGTGGGGAAGAGCTGAGCAGGGACCTGGAGGCTCTCCTGCAGAGGAGGAGGAGAGGGTGGGGGAGGGAAACTGATCGCTCCCCTGCCTCTGCTATCATCACCCTTACCTCCTCCCTCTGCCACCACCTGGAAGAACGGGCTGCTTGAAACCCAGAAACACTGCAAAAAATGATAGCCATTTCTCTGGGTGAAAAAAGCCTTTTGTCACCGATAAGGTAGCAAATCCTTGTGGATGATCCCGTGTTTTTTAAAACACAAATAAAACCGCATATAACTCTTTTTGAATTATGGTTTTCTCAGGGTATATGCCCAGTAGTGGGATTGCTGGGTCGTATGGTAATTCTGTTTTTAGTTTTTTAAGGGACCTCCATACTGTTCTCCATAGTGGCTGTATCAATTTACATTCCCACCAAAGAGTCATGTACCGAAATGTTCATTGCAACTCTATTTACAGTAGCCAGGACATGGAAGCAACCTAAGTGTCCATCAACAGATGAATGGATAAAGAAGATGTGGCACATATATACAATGGAATATTACTCAGCCATAAAAAGAAACAAAATTGAGTTATTTGTAGTGAGGTGGATGGACCTAGAGTCTGTCATACAGAGTGAAAAGTCAGAAAGAGAAAAACAAATACCGTATGCTAACACATATATATGGAATCTAAGGAAAGAAAAAAAAAGGTCATGAAGAACCTAGGGGTAAGATGGGAATAAAGACACAGACCTACTAGAGAATGGACTTGAGGATATGGGGAGGGGGAAGGGTAAGCTGTGACAGAGTGGCATGGACATATATACACTACCAAACGTAAAATAGATAGCTAGTGGGAAGCAGCTGCATAGCACAGGAAGATCAGCTCAGTGGTCTGTGACCACCTAGAGGGGTGGGATCGGGAGGGTGGGAGGGAGACGCAAGAGGGAAGAGATGGGAACATATGTATATGTATAACTGATTCACTTTGTTATAAAGCAGAAACTAACACACCATTGTAAAGCAATTATACTCCAATAAAGATGTTAAAAAAAAACCCCGCATATATGTGTTTATGTGCCCATCAAAAAAGACCTTGAAGAATACACATCAAAATATTAACAGTGATTCCCCCTGGGGAATGGGAAGGAGAGTGGAAGGGATCAGGAGATACTACTTTCTGCCTTATACATCTATTATTTGAATTTTTTCCAATGAGCGTGTGTTTTTTTATATCAGAAAAACACAGAAACCTGTCTGGCATAATGAAAATATGACACAGTGAACTGCTCTATTGTTCTCTGGGTGGATTCTAATAAAGATTTTGACATAAGATTTTTAGGACCTAGAAGCTGATATTCAGAAGGAATTGTTTTCTAATCTCTATTGTTTGCTTGATAAATTCTTACCAACAACAGTCTGGATTTCCTTCATTATTGCCTCTTCAACCTGGGGGTGCTTTGCAATGAGAAACAGCATGAAGAACACAGAGACGGACATGGTGTCTGGCGCTGCGATCAGCATTTCCAATATGCACTGGTCCACATTCTCTTTTGTCAGGTCACCACGTTTCTGAACAATTGAAATGAGGAGAAACATTGGAAAAGTGAAAGGTTCAAAACAGGAGGGAGGGTGGCACTCAAAGATCAACAGACCTCAACAAAATGAAATTACAGAAATAACAAGTCTCTGGAATTGACAATGGACATTTTCATTAATAATCTTCAGCTCAAAGCTGAACAATTTAGACATTTATCTATGTATTTAGCGTCTTTGCACTCCCCTGTTTTCATATTTTATATTGTGCAGACACAGAGAAATTTAAATCTTAAAGTTCAGTCTAATCTGATTGTCTAATAGTGGGCAGTTTGGGTTGGGCATTATAGAAATACTAAACCAAGGGCTTCCCTGGTGGCGCAGTGGTTGAGAATCTGCCTGCCAATGCAGGGGCCACGGGTTTGAGCCCTGGTCTGGGAAGATCCCACATGCCGTGGAGCAACTGGGCCCGTGAGGCACAATTACTGAGCCTGTGTGTTTGGAGCCTGTGCTCCGCAACAAGAGGCCGCGATAGTGAGAGGCCCGCGGACCGTGATGAAGAGTGGCCCCAGCTTGCCACAGCTAGAGAAAGCCCTCACCCAGAAACGAAGACCCAACATAGCCATAAATAAATAAATTAAAAAAAAAAAGAAATACTAAACCAAATATTTAAAAACAGAAACATGCAACAATTAACAAGAGGAAATTTTAAGACACCTATACACAGTCATACATGCATGTTGTGTGGGAATTATGATTAGTGCAGGTCTGTACCTCGGCAAAAATCAACTCAGTGGCAAAATCCATACAGTCTTCCAGTTTCTCTGCTGTTGAAATCCTCTGTCTTTTTTCTTCTATCAGAATTTCCATGGCATCTTTCAAATCCTTGCTGGAAGTAAAAGTAAAAATATAATCTACTTGTACTCAGTTAAGACACCTAAAAAAATGGATTCATTTGCCATTTGTTTAAATAAAACAATCTATTTAAATTGAAGCCATTAGTTCTCATGAATAACTGAATTTATACTTAATTCTTTGCAAATATCCATAAATTACGTATACATTACACTTCATATTAAGGAACCGGAGTTAGCCAACATGTCTAGGTACTGGTAGCAAAATCAAGGCTGTAACCTATAGTTAAAGGTTAAAAACTGTTACCGAAAGGCTAAATCCAATATATTTTTTAAAGTATTGGCATGATAGAGAAAGATGCATACTGTCTTTCTCACTTGTATGTGGAATCTTTCTCACTTACATGTGGAATCTTTAAAAAAGTGCAAGATCATAGATACATGGAACAGATTGTTGTTTACCAAGGCAAGAAGTTGGGGGTGGGAGCGAAATTGGTGATGGGGATTATCAAAAGGTACAAACTTCTGGCTTTAATAATAAGTCGTGGGGATGTAATGTACAGTATGGTGACTATAGTTCATAATATTGTGTTGCATATTTGAAAGTTGCTAAGATAGATCTTAAAAGTTCTCATCACAAGAAAAAGTTTTGTAACTATGTATGGTGATAGATGTTAACTAGACTTTTGTGATGATCATTTTTCAGAATATATTGATACAAATATTGAATCACTATGTTGTACAACCGAAACTAGTATAATTTTAAATGTCATTCATACCTTAACAAAAAAGTATTGGCACATTGCAAGGGTATTGCAAAAGAATTTCTCTAGGTCTTTACTGCTTTAGGTCATAGGAGATATTACCTAGTTCACTAACCATTGGCAAATGTTACAGAGAGAGGAAAGTTGCTAAGATAATTTTAAAGAAACCAAAGAGAAACTGTTATACAGTCTCATGCAGCAAGTTTCTATGGGCCTGCTGACCATACAGAAGCTAAACTAATGACCAAGTTTAACTGTGGACCAATAAGACTCTTTAGACGACCACAAATTCTGACAGCAGTGAAGAGATGAACCATTTATCTTATCGATTCAAATCACAATAAGCTCCGGTAGAAACAAAGAGAAATGTTTAAAGGACCAGGTGTCCAAATCATCCACCTAATACTCATCATCCACTTGAAATACATAAAGCAACATCAAGCTGACTACCTGGAGACTAATACTACTGAATTTCAAAACACGCAAACAGGATGAAGTTAGCTCTTCAAACAACTTTGGGAAATTGTAGAGATGGAGAATTGAAGATAGTCAGGGACATCTGGGAAAGATATGAACAGAGGGATGGGGAAAACTAACATGTTTACTGCCTACTATGTGTCATGCTTTGTGCTGATTGCCCTACATAGAGGATCTCATTAACCTGTATCGCCACCACGGAGGGTATGTTATATTTTATTTCAGAGAACTTCCCAAGGACATTTGGTTACTAAGTGGTAGAGATAGGATACAAACCAGGTCTGTCTACCTCTAGATCCCCTGTGCTTTCCACTGGCGGTTGGAGGTGGCATGTATACTGGCTGGCTACTTACACTCTAAAAACCCACTGATTATCCAGTAGGTCATTGGGCATTTGTCTAGTCTTCTGCTAGACTAGTCTGACACCAAAGCAAAGCCATTTAATGACAGTTTTAGGATCCCCCAAGATATAAGATGCATAACTAAACAAACAACACGTCTTAAAAAAGTTCATCATGAAAAAATTTTCTTGCAACTACTGTCAATTCTGACAAATTGAATTAAGTTAAATTCATTCAGAAGCAACACAACAATAAAATGATTTATGTTTCCATTTTTCCAGACATGCAAAGAGAATTTTGACTAATGATAAGGATAGGTTCAGCCAACCCTTCTCTTCAACTCAAAATACACAGCAGTGTCCTAGTTCCAGAGATGGAGCTCTCAGCCTCCTAGGGGAAAACTGCCCTGGGCCAAAGTCTTCCTTTCCTCTGTGGTCTGGCCACATGCTGCCAAATTGCTGTAAGAAGTGTTTCACCGGCAACTTAACAGCTCCCTTGCGGTCTGGAGAGGAGAAAGCTTGCCGAAGAGGCCAGCAATAACTAAGACACAACACAGGTCAATCCAATCTCAGCAATAAATATTCCAAAATATGTTACTTACACAGACTTTTCATACTTTCTGCGTAGCCAAGAAATCTTAAAGAAGATGTCTGGTTTGAGAAGGAGAGCTTGCCATGCATCAAAATAACCCTGGATTTTAACCACGATGGCCCTTTCTGGAAAAACAGAAAAAGATCAGAACAGATGAGCAAAAATGTGAGCCCAAGAATGGTACACTGCTCAGAGAAGATCCCCTGTAGACTCTCCTACCATCTGGGACTCTAAGCAGGTCAAGGTTCCACCTTCACTGGGTGTTTCAGCCAGGGGAATGCCACTAAACAAATCAACACTAATTTATTCTGCTTGGCATCTAAACTGGCCACGTTAACCAGAGATTTGCCAGTTTTCATGTTTGCCAGTTTTCATGTATATATGTATATATCATGCCCAAAAGAATGGTTGGTAATGGTTAAATACATAGGTTTGGTGGTAGGATATATTTATGACCAAATCAAATGATCACATCTGTTAAGTTTCAGCTGTGGGTAGAATCCTATTTCCTAGAGCAATGAGGCGAGATAGATACAAATGAAATAGAAGATGGCCCCTGCTATAGATATTTATGATCATATAAGTGAACAAGGCAGACATACCAGGAACAATTTTTAGGAATACTTAGATAGGTTTAAAGAAGAGCAGTGTACAAAAGAGCATATCTTTACTTGAGTCTGTTATCCTTCTCATGCCCTGTTTAATAAAGGGCCCAATGTCAAGTCACAAGAATGAAAATTTCAGTACCGTCCAAGGGGATCCCCAGGAAGAGCTTGTTAGAGGTGTCCAGCATGATGCGCCGCATGAGGGTCAACACATCCACATAACCCGACTCGTTGCGGACCTCCTCCAGCCTGTCCAGATGCTTGGTGATGGAATCAGCACAGACGGTCACCATGCGTACCAGGCCGGGGCCAGACAAAGCTGAAGGGTACACGTCAGAGTGAGCTGCCTCCAACTCCAGGGCACACAAACTATCAGGCAATTTTGGCATTTTGTGTTTGAAGCTTAATTGTCCACATTTTTATTATGGGTGGAGATTTTCATATTATTCTTTATACTTTTTCTGTATTCTCTTATTTTTCTCTATAGCAGGTTATCACATTTATGGTTAAAAATGAATGAATGAATAAATATTTTTAAAACAAACTATTCAAAACTGAACTTTTCTTCATATGGTGACATGTCATTTGTGAGATTACAAATGAAATATTTAGTACTTATGATCATAAATCACCAATCAGCGATTTTCCATATTTATTATATACCTTTCCCTCTAAAGACAGTTTGGATTTGGTCAGGGTAATATTTTATGTTTCAGTGGGTGGTAGAATATTGCTATAGAACTATTCAAATTGGATCTTACCTTTTTGATCTAAGGTGCTTCCTGTTTAATTATAGGTCATATGTGTAAAATGCTAGTCTTCTAAATTACCAAACATACCCTTCTTTTAATATCAGTTTCTCTTCAATCTACATCCAGATTTATTGTACTCAGTCAGTGTCCTAACAGCAAAACAAATCTTTGTTGTTTGAGCAGTCTTCCTCACAGGACTAGGAACTCTTTTAGGGCAGTGACAACCTGTTAGCGTTGTACTTTGAGTCTGTAGTACGTGGTAGCTCTCGATATATTATGTATTTGTCAAATAGAGGAATGAATGAATGAAACCCGGTAGAGTGAACTGGCTCTGATCTCTTACTTTGCTCTGCTCCCTGACCGTCTTTGCACTAGTGAGTCATGATGGTAGGTGGTCTAACATGAGTGTTAACTCTTAAAATCCTTTTTCTCCTTGTTCTAAGTTTAAGTTTTCTTTAAGAGTAATTAGTTTTTTAATGTCTTTTATTATTCAGACTTGCTGTTAGGGTCCTCCAACAAAACAAATCAACTGTGCTGCAGAAGCCCCTGATGTCACACTTTGCAAATAAGAAAGGAGACCTGGTGAGTGGTCCTAGAGTCTAAGCATTTCCACACGTATAAAAAAGAAGTTTGGGTTGGCAGCATACTTTCTGACTTTAGGAAGGACTTGGAGATATGAAAGGTAGGGATGCTGTTTCCTGGGTGACTGTTACATCCAGAAGTGGGACAGATGATTCCTTCATGAATCAATCCTTTGCATGGAAGGGATGGCTTTGATTATCACTCCCAGGCTGATGTATGATTTGCCTCTATGTTCAAGAGCTTGAAGCCACATTTCAAACATATGAACAGAATGTAATATCCCTGAAAGGGTCACAGGCCAAGGAATGTGGGCAGCCTCTAGAAGCTGGAAAAGCCAAGGAAGCACTTTCTCCCTAGAGCCTCCAGAAAGGAACACAGCCGTATCAGTGCCTTGATTTTCGCCCCATGAGACCCATGTCAGACTTTTGACCCATCAAACTGTAAGGTAATGAATGTGTGGTTTGAAGCCACTAAGTCTGTGTCAATTTGTTAAGCAGCAATAGGAAACTAAGGTAGTGGAATCTGTGCTAGAGTTGTGCTGAGTCTTGGTGATGGGCAGCTCTGTGGAGAGGGATCACCACTAGACTAGGACAGGTGTAGATTTTCCCCGTCTCGGCAGCCACACAGGTGGCATCTAGGTTCACTACAGAGGCTGGCTGGAGGGAAGAATATCCATGGTCCCTGGTCAGACCTACAACCCATCTAGTGCCAGATTCCATCAATGATAAGGTTTCTAGTATATGACCATCTTCTCTGATGTTAATGTCAAAGGTTGGTCATGATTATTTCCCAAAGGCTTCCATTCCAGCAGCATATAGTAAAGGGGGAAATCACTAGATAAGGAGGTTTGGGGCCCAGTTTCTGTTCATCTATATCTGGCTATGTTGCCTGGGGGAAAAATCACAATCTCTTTAGAAATGTACTTCCTTGAGTATAAAACTCAGAGGCTGAAAGAGATGACATATACAGCCCTTCTAGTTCTAAAATTCTCTAATTTATTTGCAAATTGCTTTCTGTTAAAACATCTGGGAAGTCAGCCAATGATTCAGCAAACATGTTGGCTATGTTAAATCAAGGATATGGCTGACACACTAATTGACATACACGCTAATTGAAGTGACCTTAAGTATATAGAGTGCTAATTCTTTTTTACATCCATGAAATGGATGTAAAAACAGAAAGAACAAAATTGAAGTGGTTAAATATGTGGGTTCTGGGGTTGTCTTCTTTGCTACCATTTACTAATGGTAGAAATTGGGTAAGGTACTTAACCTCTTTATCCTTCAGTTTTCTCATTTGTAAAATGTAAGTGATAAGAGTATTCACCACACGGGGTTGCTGTGGGATTAAAGTATCAAGTGTTTAAAACAGTGCCTACTATGTAGTACATGTATAATGAATGTTAGCTCTTATTATTTCAAAACTGTGAAGAAGCAGAAGTTAAAAATGATTTTAAGACAGGCATATTCGTAGACAGAAGAGCAGACTATACCCAGCACCTGAATACCTTTTGTAAAGAAAGGTCGAACGGCTTTCCAGAGTGCTGGATTATTGTTAAATATGATGCCTTTCTCATGCATACCGATGCACTGCAACCCAAGTTTGCTGCCGAATCGGGATGTGTAGTGACTGTGCTTCATTATGTGGAACATACTCGAAGACCTGCAGAGAAAGCAAACCTTGGTGTTGATTTTTAAGGGTCCAGAGAACTCACGGTAATGAGTTTGACTACCAGTTGGCTCTCATAGCAAATGCATGTTGATCTTGACAAAATGCATAAATTCTAGTGTTCAGATTAAATAAGCACCTGTGTTAGCACAAGAACCTCCTTCGGCAGTTGAAACATTTCTACCTACTAGCTCCCTGTTTGAGCATCACTAAAGATCAATACACACACACGCGCGCGCGCGCACACACACACACACACACACACACACGCACGCACAGTTATTCGTTATTTCCCCTTCTTTTTAACTCCTAGTCTCTAAAATATTACCCACTACTGTGGTCAGAGCTGCAAGCCTGTAAGAAACTGAACCCTCCACACCACCATATTCCTGAGAGCCTCCAGCCTCCAAGCAGTCCCTCTCCAGACAGTGCTCCCCATGCAGAAGTGAGCCTCATAATTGGAAGTTGCTGGAATACCTGAAGTCTTACCTCTTTAGTTTTGGAAGCAGCAGTTCTGCCTTGTACCACCCGTCCCCCAGAGACCCTAATCAGGCCTGGCCCCTCCAGGGGAGTATCATTATAGGACTGAAGGACATCTCCTGGGCACCTCTGGCCCTGGGCTTGGCTGGCTGGGCTGGCCTGGAAGGCTCTCTCTGGTGGTGACAGCAGCTGTCTTGGGGCTCTGCGTCCATCATGATTCATCAAGGTCTCCAGGGTCACAGAGTTCTCCCAGGACATAGGACACGCTGAGCCATTAGATAGCCCTTGCTGTGGCAACCCTGGGACCTTGCCAGGAACCCAGGCTTCCTTGAACTTCCTGGTTCCTCTTCCACCGCTCTGCCCTCTATTCCCACCCCCAGGCCTGGCTCTTAAGGCCTGAGCTGGGTCTTCAGAGCAACTAGGAAGGAGCAGGCAGCCCCTCCCCACCCATGTCCTCCTTCAGGTCTTGCTTCCTGCCCCAAATCCTACTCTAATTGGGGCACGATAAGGCAATGAGCATTATAACATGTTGTAAAATCCTAGCTGAAGACGTCATGGGGCCTCTATGTTTGAAGAGAATATTGTCTTTTTAGGACAGTGGTACAGAATTCTTCTGCAGAGGAGCTCACTTTGGTGCAAAGATGTTTTATTAAGACTGCTTATAAGTAAGGCTACGGCATTTGAAGGAAGAGTGGATAATTTGGATAATTGAAAGGATAGGGTTTTCTATGTATAGTATCATGTCATCTGCAAACAGTAACGGTTTTACTTCTTTCCAGTTTGTATTCCTTTTATTTCTTTTCCTTCTTCGATTGCTGTGGCTAGGATTTCCACAACTTTGTGGAATAAAAGTGGTGAGTGGGCATCCTTGTCTTGTTCCTGATCTTAGAGGAAATGCTTTCAGCTTTTCACCATTGAGTATGATGTTAGCTTTGTGTTTATCATATATGGCCTTTATTATGTTGAGGTAGATTCCCTCTATGCCCACTTTCTGATGAGTTTTTTTCATAAATGGATGTTAATTTTTATCAAAAACTTTTTCTGCATCTATTGAGATGATCATATGATTTTTTAATACTTTTTTAAATGTTTTATTTATTTTATTTTATTTTTATTTATTTTTGGCTGCGTTGGGTCTTCATTGCTCTGCGCGGGCTTTCTCTAGTTGCGGCGAGCGGGGGCTACTCTTTGTTGTGGTGCGCAGGCTTCTCATTGTGGTGGCTTCCTTGTCGTGGAGCACAGGGTCTAGTTGTGCAGGCTTCAGGAGTTGTGGCTCTCGGGCTATAGAGCACAGGCTCAGTAGTTGTGGCACATGGGCTTAGTTGCTCCGCGGCATGTGGGATCTTCCGAGACCAGGGCTCGAACCCATGTCCCCTGCATTGGCAGGTGGATTCTTAACCACTGCACCACCAGGGAAGCCCATCATATGATTTTTATTCTTCAGTTTGTTAGTGTGGTATGTCACACTGATTGATTTGTAGATATTGCAAAAATACACAAACAACGAAAGATCAGAAAAAGAAATTAAGGAAAAAAGTCATTTACCATCACATCAATAAGAATAAAATACCTGGAATAAACCTACCTAAGGAGGCAGAAGATCTGTACTCTGAAAACTATTAAGACACTGACACTGATGAAAGAAATTGAAGACGACACAAATGGATGGAAAGTTATACTGTGTTCTTGGACTGGAAGAATCAATATTGTTAAAATGACTATACTACCCAAGGCAATCTACAGATTCATTGCAATGGCAAATTATCAATGGCATTTTTCACAGAACTAGAATGAAAACAATTTAAATTTGTGTGGAAACACAAAAGACCCTGAATAGCCAAAGCAATCTTAAGAAAGGAAAACGGAGCTGGAGGAATCAGGCTCCCTGACTTCAGTTTATACTACAGAGTTAACAGTAATCAAAATAGTATGGTACTGGTACAAAAACAATAATATAGATCAATGGAACAGGATAGAATGCCCAGAAATAAACCCACGCACCTATGGTCAATTAATCTATGAGAAAGGAGGCAAGAGTATACAATGGAGAAAAGACAGTTTCTTCAATAAGTGGTGCTGGGAAAACTGGACAGCTATATGTAGAAGAATGAAATTAAAACATTCTCTAACACCATATACAAAAATAAACTCAAAATGGATTAAATACCTAAATGTATGACCGGATACTATAAAACTCCTAGAGGGAAACACAGGGAGGTCACTCTTTGACATAAATTGCAGCAATATCTTTTTAGATATGTCTCCTAGATTAATGGAAATAAAAACAAAAATAAATGGGACCGGACTTCCCTGGTGGCACAGTGGTTAAGAATCCACCTGCCAATGCAAGGGACATGGGTTCGAGCCTTGGTCCAGGAAGATACCACATGCCACGGAGCAACTAAGCCTGTGCGCCACAACTACTGAGCTTGCGCGCCTATAGCCTGCAAGTGACAACTACTGAGCTCGCGTGCTGCAAATACAGAAGCCCACGCGCTTAGAGCCCATGCTCTGCAACAAGAGAAACCACCGCAATGAGAAGCCTGCACACAGCAATGAAGAGTAGCTCCTGCTCGCCCCAACTAGAGAAAGCCCACGCGCAGCAACAAAGACCCAAAGCAGCCAAAAATTTTTAAAAGTAAATAAATTAAAAAAGATAAACGGGACCTAATTGAACTTAAAAGCTTTTGCACAGGAAAGGAAACCATAAACAAAACAAAAAGACAACCTACAGAATGGGAGATAATATTTGCAAATGATGCGACTGACAAGGGATTAATTTACAAAATATACAAACAGCTCATACAATTCAATTTAAAAAACCCAATCAAAAAATGGGCAGATGAGCTAAATAGACATTTCTCCAGAGAAGACATACAGATGGCCAACAGGCACATGAAAAAATGCTCAACATTGCTAATTATTAGAGAACTGCAAATCAAAACTTCAGTGAGGTATCACCTCACACCAGTCAGAATGGCCATCATTAAAAAGTCTGCAAATAACAAATGCTGGAGAAGGTGTGAAGGAAAAGGAACCCTCCTACACTGTTGGTGGGAATGTAAATTGGTGCAGCCACTATGGAAAACAGTATGGAGTTTCCTTTAAAACCTAAAAATCGAGGCACCATATGATCCAGCAATCCCACTCCTGGACATATGTCCAGAGAAAACTATAATTGGAAAAGATACATGCACCCCAGTTTTCACAGCAGCACTATTTACAATAGCCAAGACATGGAAGCAACCTAAATGTCCATCATCAGATGAATGGTTAAAGAAGATGTGGTACATATATGCAATGGAATATTACTCAGCCATTAAAAAGAATGAAATAATGCCATTTGCAGCAACATGGATGGAGCTAGAGATTATCATAGTAAGTGAAGTAAGTCAGACAAAAATATATGATATCGCTTATATGTGGAATCTAAAAAAAAAAAGATACAAATGAACTTATTTACAAAACAGAAAGATACTCGCAGACATAGAAAACAAACATACAGTTACCAAAGGCGAAAGAGGGTTGAGATTAATATATACACACTACTGTATATGAGATAGATAGCCATCAAGGACTTACCGTATAGCATGGGGAACTATACTCAGTATTTTGTAATAACCTATAAGGAAAAAGAATCTGAAAAAAAAAAAACACAAAAAAAAATATATGTATATCTATATATATATATATATATGTATGTAACTGAATCACTGTGCTGTACACCTGAAACTAACAAAACATTGTAAATCAACTCTACTTCAATAAAAAATTTTAAAAAGACTAAACTCAAAAACACCCCCAAAAGATATGGGTCTGCATCCTGACCTCAATAGTTACCATATATATGACATTGGGGAAAACATTTATTCCCTTTATTTTCAATACTGACACAAATAATAACACCTATATTATAAGCTACTGTAAAATGTAGAAATGCTAATAATTATAAAAGCCCCTGATTTCACATTGTTTATTTTGCTTACTTTTACTAGATCTGCCAATGTACATACGTGATAAATATGCCTTGAATAAAATTAATGAATAATATTTTAAAATAGTTGAAAGCATAAATGGATAGTTATTCTCTTCAGGATAAAAGGTGGGGTGGGTTTATTAGATAGTGGATGCAAGCAGCACAGGGAAGGCTTGAGAGGAAACAGCTGAGATGAACCTATGTTTATGAGGATTTGGGGAGGAGAGAGACTCCTCATTCACTGCTCAGTAAAAGAGGGACTTTAGAAGAAAAGAATGTCTGTTGGGAACTCATGAAGTTAAGAATCAAGTGTGGGTGGTATAAACTAATTTTCATCTACCAAGAGAAAAATTAAGAAATTCTGCAGGTGACTGCATTTCCTGTGGAAAGGGGCTGAGGTTGGAAAAGGTTCATGCAGGGCCTAGACAGAAGCAGGCTACCTGGGTGAGGGCTCAGTGGTGTCTGTGACCATGATGAGCACGGCTCAGGAAGCTGGAAGTCAAAATGTCCTTGTTAATAAGCTATGTGGTTGACCCTC